GTTAAACTCTTTAATTAATACACAATTATTCTTAGGTGTTTAAATTTAACTGAAAAGTGATCCCTGTTAAATAAGAATGGGAATGAGAGGGAGATGTACAGTTCGGCACAAGCTCAATCGGACTTACCCCTAATGGCAGAGTTAGAAATGTGCCAGGGGATTCCAATTCAATTCCACCAAGGTGGCATGTACCAAGGTCATCTCACTAGTCAAACTGATCGGTTTCAGTTCATAATTGATTAAGTGTCAAAGGGATCACAAAAACAAGACTAGTGTCTGCTAATACTAATAGAATTTTTTTTTTTATTTTTTGCCAGGCAGAGTTAGACTGTGAGAGAGAGACAGAGAGAGTTATAGATAGTGAGAGAGAGACAGAGAGAAAGGTCTTCCTTCCGTTGGTTCACTCCCCTAATGGCCGCCATGGCCGGCGCTGTGCTGATCCAAAGCCAGGAGCCGGGTACTTCCTCCGTGTCTCCCATGCGGGTGCAGGGCCCCAAGCACTTAGGCCATCCTCCTCTGCCCTCCCGGGCCACAGCAGAGAGCTGGACTGGAAGAAGAGCAACTGGGACTAGTACCCGGCGCCCCAACCAGGACTAGAACCCAGGGTGCTGGCACTGCAGGCAGAGGATTAGCCAAGTGAGCCATGGCACTGGCCCTAACTAATAGAATTAAAAAGGAGAGACCAATCCAATATGGGAAGTGGGATACACAGCAGACTCAGGCAGATGTCCTAAACAGCACTCTGGCCTCAGAATCAGCCCTTAAGGCATTCGGATCTGGCTAAAAAGCCCATGAGAGTATTTCAGGCATGGAAAGCCAAGACACTGGCCAGCACACAGACGAAAAGACCTACATGAAAGATCTCTGTGAGTGAGATCCCAGTGGAAAGATCGGGCCATCAAAGAAGAAGGTACCTTTCTCTGAAGGGAGGAAAGAACTTCCACCTTGACTATGACCTTGTCTAAATAAGATGGGAGTTGGCAAACTCAAGAGGCTTCCATAGCCTTGGCAACTCATGACAAGAGCCTCGAGTAATTACTGATGCCATAAACAAGACTGTCAATTGTTAAATCAACAATAGGAGTCAATGTGCACTTATTCCCCATGTAGGATCTCTGTCCTTAATGTGTTGTACTATGTGAATTAACGGTATAACAAGTACTCAAACAGTACTTTATACTTTGTGTGTCTGTGTGGGTGCAAACTGTTGAAATCTTTACTTAGTATATACTAAATTGACCTTCTGTATATAAAGATAATTGAAAATTAATCTTGATAAAGAATGGGATGGGAGTGGGAGTGGGAGATGGGATGATTATGGGTGGGAAGAAGGTTATGGGGGGAAAAGTCGCTATAATTCAGAAGTTGTAATTTGGAAATTTATATTTATTAAATAAAACTTAAAAAAAGAGAAACAATGTACAGTGTCTTCCCCTTCACATCTGAGTCAAAGGTAAAACCATTAACCAATCATTTTAGACTTTCAACTTATAAAACCAAATTAATATTATCAGAATAGCTGTTTAAGTTTAATGAGAGGAAGAGTTAGAATTTTGGTTGTTGTTGAATAATCAACAAAGCAGCCTAAGAAAGACAAAGGAGATGAGTATGTAGTAGTTCTTGCAGCCTGGATAGCTACAAGAACAGCTCTCAGGGTTAAAGGATAAGTTGCATGAGCAACAGGCCTTAGGACCAAAGCCTCAGGGAGGGTCTCTCCTGTAAACACACAGAACACTTCTACCTTGACACCTCCAGCAAAGGGAGAACACTGCCTTCTCTCATGTAGTAGAGCCAGGGAAGTACTCTAACTGGTCCTTGCTGGGCTACATACCCACTCCTTTGGCTAAACACTGCTGACAACAGGACAAGATCCTGGGATTAGCCAGGCCTGCATCACAGACACACACTTTTCCAAGGAAGCAGTGCTTATCTCTAGAAGGGTCCTGGGAAACCCTGTAAGGGTTGTTACCATGGCTCAGTAAACTGGGATATCCAAAAAAGAAATTATAATAACAATGTGGGAAAAGCATATATCTTGTGAATTAATATGTATGACTGTAGGCACCAGAGTTACGGTATAGCGAGAGAAGCTGTCCCCTGCAATGCCAGCATCCCAAATGGGTGTCAGTTCACATCCCAGTTGCACCACTTTCTATCCAGCTCCCCTCTAACAGCCTGGGAAAAGCAGTGGAAGATGACCCAAGTGCTTGGGGCCCTGCTACCCATGTGGGAGATCTGGAAGAAGTTCCTGGCTCCTGGCTTTGGCCTGGCCCAGCCAATGTGAACCAGAAGATGGAAGCACTCTTTCTGTTTCTCCAGCTAACTCTTTCATATAAATAAATAAATCTTTAAAAAAAATTTATGACTGTATGCTCTGCATCAAACATTATTCTAAACAGGAACAAATGTAAGAAAGGATAGCAAGATTCTCCTACATGGGTAATCTGTACAAAATTGTCAGTGGAAAAACATGTCACTCAATAATCAAACTCCATTGTCTGTGAACCTTACCATTAGCAATTTTGTCTTTTGGTTTATAGCACTGAAGTCAAAAGGCTCTACTCTGTAATGTTTAATTGGATGACCTCTCAAATCTCTTCCAGCCTATGAGTCTATGAATGCCCTATGAAATTCTAAATACCTCTGCAAGAATAGCAGAGGAAGCTATTACATTGCTGGACAGTGTTATGAGCTTAATTGTGCCCACTCCCCACTTCCGCCTTAGTATGTTGAAAACCTAACTCCCAGGACCACAGAATATGACTGTGTTTGTATTTTGGTAAGGTTTTAAAGGTAGAATGTGTCACTCCCCCTCTTCGCGGAGGAACGACACAGGACCCTGCGCTGTTCTTTTGTCTGCTCGGCCCTTCCCGGGTTTGCTGCTGGTTCTTCCTGGGTTGGCTGCCGTCCCTCCACCTCCGTGGAGGGGCGGGCCCCCCTGCCACTTTCCCCACTTCCGCGGGGGAGCGGCACACTGCCAGCCGGCTCTCTCGGGGGCTGCTCAGGTGTTCCTTCAGATAGATGTTCCTGGTGCATGTTGTCTCTCTCCTCCTTTATAGTCCTCTTCCACCAATCCCAACTCTGCTACCCACACGCCGAGTACGCTGCTCTCCTCCAATCAGGAGCAGGATCAGCTCCTGCAGGTCATCACTCAAGTTGGTGAGAGGCAGCTGCATAGAAGTTGTTTACTCCCTTCTCAGCGCCATATTGTGGGGGAGCAGATGCATAGAATAAGTCTTAATTCCAGTAACAGTCTAGTCCGAGTTGCTCCCCACAGAATGAGTTCATATGGGAGGATCTTAATCCAGTAGGGTTGGTGTCCTTATAAGAGGTTTGGACACCCACAGGTACAGAGAGGGAAGACGATGTGACAACCTTGGTGAAAGCAGTCAGCTGCAAGCCAGAGAGAGGCTTCCATGAAACCAACCCTGCTGACGCCCTCATCTTGGATTCCCGCCCTCCATAACTGTGAGAAAAAGTTTGTGGCAAATGGATTTGAAAGATAACACATACTGTCCATGAGCTTTGTAAAAGAGAGAGACAGGAATCTCTTACTGCTAGTTCACTCCCCAAATGCCCATAACTTTCAGGGCTGGGCCAGGCTGAAGCCAGGAGCCAGGAATTCAGTCTGGGTCTCCCACATGGTTGACAGAGACACAAGTAACCTGAACCATCATCTGCTGCATGAGCAGGAAGCTGGAATTGGGAGCAGAACCCAGGCACTGCTTGAACCCATATACTCCAATATGGCATCTTAACCACTGCACCAAACACCTACTCCCGAATGCTCAGATTATGGAGTACTTGTCCTACCAGTCCTCTACCTACCTTGCCTCACTCCTCATCTGTCTCCCATCAGGGACCCACTCCCCGAGTCAAACCAGACTTAGTTGCCATTAACACTGCCCCTGGCCCCTTACTAGGCCTAGACCATGAGCCTTCAGCCACCGCAGTAAATTCGCATGGATCTCAGCCCTGTCTGACCCTGCTCAGTTTATGCTCTTGCCTTTGTTCAGGTCTTTGCCCTCTGTCAGCTCACCCCGGACCCACCAAACTGTGCTGCTTGGGTCACACTGAGATCCCCCCACCAAGCACAGTACACATCTGGAAAACACATCCACTCTTGAAGAAATAACCAACGCCGCAGCCCCACTACACAAAACCTGGCACCAAAAGGAAAGCAATTTTTGCTCCACAGAGTGACTGCTAAATGGCCAGGGTTTTGTGGAAAGGGACAACTATGATACGGGACTTTTCAGTTCATAAGCCTCCTGACATCACACCACCACACTGGCAAAGTAGTGCCTGGGAGGCTATCAGGACACAATCTGGAAGTTACTTCATTACTGAATATTACAATGATATTTGCCAACGTGGGATTTTTTTGCTTATGTGTGCATTAAAAAGAATTTCTAACCACCACTGCTTATAGCACCAATATATTAATATCGCCACATAACAAATTCCAGAGAAGAGAAATGAAATATTCAAATAACTCCAGCATCGTGGGCCTACCAAATACTGCGCTTTACCTTTATGTTTCTTTTTTTTTTTAACACCTACAGACAGTTTGAAAAAAAAAAAACTTGATAACGTCAAAAGATGAGAAAAGCTGAACGCAGGGAAATAAAGGAACCATAAATCAGAAAAACTTTGGAGCTGCTGGAAAGACACTTTAATTTTGTAGACAAAAGACTGCATTAAGGAGGAATAATGCAATAATCAAAGGTGAACGGATCTCTATTGTCTGGCGTCTTTCTCTGTGGGAATTTTCCCACCCCTGACAGCTGTAGGCGGGGGAGGGGCGCCGCGACCAAGGCTGCGCCTTTATTCCCGCGCCCTCTCCCCGGCCCCTCCCCTTCTGCGTCAATAAATGTCTGCAATCACACTCTCGGGCTCCTGTGTGATTTCAAGGTTCATCTCTTCCATGCAGCTCAAACACTAATTATCCCAGCTGTAATTAGTAAGATAATTAAATATTGGCTCACTCAGCACTCTACCTTGGGTCGGGTCGTGATTCTCCCAGAAGACCTTGAGCAGTTCCTCAAAGCGGATGTGCTCTGGCCGGTACACGACCCGGACGACTTCCGCGTGGCCAGTTTTGCCTGGAAAGAAACAGAACGTACACACCGAAGTGACTGACAGTGCCAGTGCATTGCAGCTTGTTTGTTCTCAAAAGCCCAACAGACAGAAGCTCCGGTGCTTCCCTCTGCAGGAGGCATAAATGGACTTTGGCTCCTGGCCTCAGCCAAAGTCTCTCTGGCTGGTACTTCTCCCGTGGAGCACACAGTTACCCGCCAGCAAGCTTCCTGGGGTGAGGAGTTCTTCACTGTGCTCTAATCTGTATATATTTGTTAAATTCGTGAAAAACAAATGGTTTTCAGATTTCTAATCCCAATCTTAGGAAATGTATGGATCCAACCAGACATCGAGCTCAAAATAGGAAGCACTGCCAATGGGATTGGGCCCATTTATTTTTATCATCACCCCATGCTGTATGTAGTATGCTCAGCGCACTGCAGCGCCAGCTCATGACAGATAAACCTGTAAAACACACACACACACACACACACACCCCAAAAAAAAAAAAAAAAAAAACCAGGGCGCAACTCGTTCACATTAGAGAAATTCGTTAGTGGATGGACATATTTGCTCTGTTGTTAACACTGAGGCAAGGGTTACTCATATACCCTACGTGTTTTCTCAGCCTAATTCCTTTCTGTGGCCAAGAGTGACTGTAGCAAATGTCTCTGTGCAGGACTAAGAGTGAGCAGGGTCCTTCTCCAACGTGCTTCCAAAGGTTCAGTGGGACAAGGCGGAGGGTGTTTGCAGGACCACTTTTAGCCATGGAATTCTCCCCCGTCCTGAATTTACAGTCTTCACGGTAAGTAACAGACCCTTCCATGCTGACATCATCCCTGTATTCAGATTGGTTTTCCGTGTCTTTTTGGCCACCTTGCTCAAAGACAGGTCTGGCCTTTGGCCTCAGCTCCTGAGAGAAAATCTGTCATATCCAACAGAAATGAGGCTGGCCACACTGGATCTTAGCACGGGTCCAGCTACACCCAATTGTCCTGAGATGGGGACTAGCCATGCCAAAAAGACCAACCATGTGGATTAGGGTGGGGGCTTTGGATAACACCACTGGAGAGGGAGCTCCACCACATAGGCCATCAATCAATCAATCATGCCTATACGATGCAGCCACAGTAAAAACAGCACTGAAACACAGGCAAAGCTTCTCTGGTTAGCAGTACTCTGCGTATTGCCACATGTTGAAGCCAGGAGGACAACACCTCCTGACTCCACAGGGCAGGAGAACAGGGCGTTTGGAACCTTCCCAAACAGCTCTTCCTTCAGTGGATTCTGGGCTGATTTTTTTTCTCTGTAATAAACCATAACTATGAGTCTAACAACTTTCAGTAAGCTCTGAGTTGTAGCAGCAAATTATCACACGTGAGAGTGGTTTGGGGGACATCTTGAATTTGCGCCTTACTTTTGCAGAGGTGTTTTCCCATATGTTGGCTATCTCACTTTAATTGTCAGAACTGTCTGATGGGTATAGTCAGGGAAGGAAGAAATCCCCTTTTCACAAACTAAAAAACCCAAGATACAAAAATGTTAGATTTGCCCAGGTAATATGGTGACTTTCTGGGCCATAACCCAAAGAAAGTATCTTATAACTTCTTTTCCAGGGGTCTAATACATCAATGGAAAGCAAGCAGGGTGATCATTTGGGACACGAGCTCAGAAAAAGAAAGAAATCTATTCATTATCTTTAATTTTTTACTATTTCAATTTCCTTCTAATTATGGAAACAATATTTGTGAATAATATGAAGCTTAGGAAATGTGGGAAAGTCTAAAAAACCAAAAATGCTCGTATACTCTTGTCACATGAGTGCCATCACTATTTTTTACTCATCTCTTTTTAGATGCATACCAGACGTGCATGCACACACACGTGCACATAGAACTTCTTCCATTGAATCATTACAGCATGCTTTTCCCACTTACCAGTATATTGTGAGAATTTCCCCATGTTACTGAGATTTTTGGACAACAGCATTTATAATGACTACATAACACTCCATCAGATGGTTGTCCAATTGCTTATTCAATCACTCGCTGTCACTGGGCATTTAGACCAAATCCTATTTTTACCATGAATGTAAATATTTTGCCACACTTCTCAGGCTGCCTCAAGCCACAGTTACATAAGTGGAATTTCTGAGTCAACATTTAGCAATGTTTTAAAGTCTCTTAGTGCTTAATGCCAAGTTGCCTTTCAGTAAAGCTGACCCAATTTTCTCTCCTTACTGACTGCATATTTGAGGGCCATTCTCACTCTCTATGCAATGTTTTTAAGCCTTAGCATTTATAGCTAGAAGATAATAATCATTTCATATTGAATAAATTTGATTATCAGTATGGTAAAAATATACTTCACACCTATTAGTAATTTTAATTTTTTTCTCTTTTGTCATGTGCTTTTTATATGTGAATGGTTACTATATTAATGTTTCATTATTAATTGGTTAATCCATATGATTTTGATTCATATACTACAGCTATTCAAGTTATCCTGACAGATTTTATGCAAATAAATATGAGAAGAATGATAATCGAGAGTTTAGGAAGAAGATCATGTTATTATTAAATGACTTTAAACTACTTAAAAAATATTATTTTGCAATTTGGAATGTTTAAATGAGTGATTTAGCTATACATGCATTAAAACTCTCTGAATATTAAAAATGGCAATAATATGTTATAAAGATGACAGATGTATTTGATATGAAAAATGTTAAAACTGCACTGGAAACATAAGCAAAAGATATAAGCAGGCTATTCAAATAGGAAGAAATAAATGTAAATAAAGATGCAAAATGCTTGACATTTTAGTGATCAAACAAAAGCAAATAAGTGCAAATTAAACATTAACATGTCACATCTTCTATATTCTATTTTTTTTTTATTTTATTAATTTATTTGAAAGGTGGAGTTACAGAGAGGTAGAAGCAGAGGCACAGAGAGAGAGAGCGGTCTTCCATCTGCTGATTCCCCAAATGGCTGCCACAGCTGGAGCTGGGCCGATCAGAAGCAAGGAGCCAGGAATGCCATCCTGGTCTCCCGTTTGGGTGCAGGGGCCCAAGCACTTGGGCCATCTTCCACTGCTTTCCCATGCCATAGCTGGATCAGAATTGGAACAGCAGGGTCTCCAACCGGCACCCATATGGCATGCCAGCACTGCAGAGAGTGGCTTTAACTGCTAACACCACAGCACCGGCTCCTATGGTATTTTTAAATACTGCTTAACAGTATCCTAGTGTTGCTGAGGATATAATGAATCTGTATTGGCTAGTGACAGGTCTGCTTTGAAACCATACTGGCACATATAGCAAGAACCACAACCACCTTAAATGATCCAGGAAATCTGTCTCAAAGGCTTAACCTATGAAAATGGAAAAGATACATACATGCACAAAAAACTCCCTCCCTTATTATTACAAAGGGGGAGTACTGTAAGAAATATAAAAATCAAACAAGAGGAAACATGAAGGAAAGATCCTCAGAAAATTTACGGAAAGCCATGTTATGAAAAAATTATGCATGGATTTCAAAACTGTTTCACACCAAAATAAATTTATCTTATAAATCCATTTTCTACAAATTTCTAAAACTCACCTCACATCATAACCATTAAAATCCATCAGTCACCAACAATATGACAACCATTATTAGGGGTACAGCTCAGTGGTATTAAACACAATAATGTTGTACAACCATCACCACCATCCGTCTCCATAAGTCTCTTGATCTCACAAAACTGAAACTCTAACCATTAAACAGCAACTCCCCTTCCACGCTCTTCCGCCTCTGGAGACTCCCAGGCTCCCCTCTGTCTCGTGACTGTGACTACTCCAGAGACTTCATAGAAGTCAAATCACACAGTGTTCATCTTTTGTGATCGGCTTATTCCACTTGGTGTAATGTCCTTAAGGGTCACTCATATGGTGGCATGTGTCAGAACTTCCATTTTTTCTAGGGCTGAACACTGCTATTCCATTGTGTGTATTTTTGGGTATACAAGGGGACTTCAAAACATTCACTGCACAATGGTATTAAAGGGCACTGGGAATTTCCCATGGACTTTCTGAAGCCCCCTTGTGTGTGTGTGTATGTGTGTGTGTGCGCGCGCGCACTTGCCCTGTGTGCACCACATTGGGCTTCTCTATTCTGTCCATAGGCAGCTAAGTTGCTCCCACATTCTGGCCACTATGAACAGTGCAGCTCTGAACACAGCTGTACACATACTGTTTACGGTAATTTTGAAAGAGTGATATGGTCCCCACTTTACAGATGTGGAAACCAAGGTCTCTCCCCAAGTTTTCTCAAACAATAGCCCACAGCTAGCAAGTGCCAGGCCCCAGTCACAAGCCAAATAGGCTTCAACCAGAGATAAAAGTCAGGCTCTTTCTCCAATCCTCAGGCTTCTCAGTGGGAAACTGGACATCCCTAAGTGATGGTAAATGTTACACGGGCAAGCACCTGGATGAAAAGTCACTGCTGTGCGGTCACTGAGCCCGAGGCCATCAAGAATATTTCACAGGATTAGGCACTTCTTTAGTGGGAGCAAGACGGGGTGGAGGGATGCTTGCCGTTCGCCAGCAAATGCTTGCAGACCTCATCTGCCATGGATGTTATTTGTAGAGAGGTTTAAGAAACCGTGGTTGTTTAAGTGAAGCTACTCCCATTCAAATTCAAGATCCATTTGCATTGACAAACAGCACGGAGATGCCCTTGCCAAACTCACCTTTAAGTTTCTTTACTTTATTTCTCCAAAGGAAAAGAACCTGTGTAAAAATACACAGTGCAAATGATCAAAAGGATTAAGGGACTGGGAACTACTTACAGAAATGGCCACGCTTTACAGCAGTGAGCCAATGCGCTAGGCTAATTTCATTTCAGAGACCAATCTGCAAATACTTTCTTGTGCTTCCAGAGATAAAAGGCTGCATCTTAAAAAATACTCTGAGCTGTGTCTTCACATAACATCGTGCAAATAGCATGATAGATGTGATGTGCAAACATACTTGTTAACA